CTCTATATATATATATATATATATATATATATATATATATCGTCAAATAGAACTGCCCGGTAAACCGTAGGCAGAGAGGGAGAAGAGGACAACAAACGAGGGGCTGTGACAAACTGTTTCGTCGGAGTTTCACCGACTCATATATCGCTCGCTATCTCGTCACCCGATCTCAAAGAAGCGCAAAAATCTAATTTGACGTGATCGGATAGAGTGGTCTCCTCCGAACAGGGATTTCTTAGAGCACGTATGTTGTGCGAGCGGGGCAGGTTCGGGAGATTTGTGATCGGGCCCTGCGTTCGGGGCATGTGATCAACGCACGAGCAAACAACATCGCATCATTTCCTATCAATCGCGGGAAAGATATGAGAAGAAGACGAAGAACGAAAATGATGTAATAGACGCACGAAAAAGAAAACGAAGGACATAGTAGATGTACGCAACACAAAGAATAACAAAATAAATGCACACAAACACGAATTGTGCTTGCGTGCGTATAGTTCGTTTTTCTTCGTTTCGCATGCGTCTAATATGCCCTTCGTCTTCTTTTCGTGCGTTCGTTTCATCGTTTTCGTTCTTCGTCTTTTTCCGAGCGACTTGCGCCAATACAAGTAAGAAGAACGAAACAAAGCAGACATGGAAGAACCGATTACACGAAGGAGCACACCGGAAGAGCGTTGGAAGACAAGGGTATCCTCTTCTCTCATACCTTTTCGTCTTTGTCATTTGCCTTCTTCGTCGTGTCGGTCCGTCTTTGTCCTTCGCCTTCTTCTCATATCTTCTCGTCTATATCAGTACACGGGAAGAAGACGAATGACGAAGACGAACCGGCCGAACGAAGAAGGCGAATGATGGAAACGAAAAGGTATTAGAGAAGAGGATCCCCCTGCTTTACAAAGCTCATCTTTCGTGTTCTTTATCTTCGCAGATTTCGACGTTTCCTCTGTTTTTTTTTCTCTCTTTATTTTCTACGTGCTTGTTGTTGATATTTTGTGCGTCTCATCTCTCATGTCGTGTGTTTCGTCCGGATTTCACTCTTTATTTTTGACATGCGTCCCGTACGTTTTCTTTTTCAACAGCCCGTTTCTTGTTCGCACACTCTTCCCACGGTTATCTCATGGATTCGTCAATGTTTCATGTCTTCACACACGCGTATCGAACCACCTTTGTTCCCCCGTTAACCAGCTCGACACGTGGCAGCGAAATCTTTTCCTTGTCATGAAGCGGATCGGGACGCCCGGGATCGAGGTGTCTTCCTCGTTTTCCGTTGAAAGACAGAAGTATCCTCTTCTCTAATATCTTTCCGTCTTTGTCATTCGCCTTCTTCGTTTTGTCGGTTCCTTCGCCTTCTTCTCATAATTTCTCGTTTTTGTCACTACATGGGAAGAAGACAAATGACAAAATGAACAAGCCAAACGAAAAGGCATTAGAGAATAGGATCCTCCTGCTTCACAATGCTTGTCTTTCGTGTTCTTTATGTTCGCAGATCTTGACGTTTCCTCCGTTCTGATTTCTTTCTTGTTTTCTACGTGTTTGTCGTCGATATTTTGCGTGTGTCATCTCTTGTGTCGTGTCTTTCGTTTGGATGTCGTTTTTTGTTTTTGACATGAGTCCCGTCCGTTTCCTTTTCCAACAGCCCATTTCTTGTCTGCACATTCTTCCCACGATCATCTCCCGGCTTCGTCAATGTTTCCCTTTCCCGCACACGCGTATCGAATTACCTTTGTTCCCCCTCTATCTAGCTCGACACGTGGCAGCGGAATCTTGTCCTTGTCATCACTTGGATGGGACGCTCGGGATCGCGGTGTATGAAGATAGGATATGATTGTCTTAAACAACTCTGTTTCTCGTTCGCATGTGTCGCTGACACATGCATGTCCATCATAGGTCCGTTCTGTAATATGACACCTGTTACATTAAACCCTATGAAACCCCCCGTCAGCCAATCGACACGTGTCGACACCATCCTCCGGTGGTCGAACGTATTAGCACCGCCCGTGTCTAATTCGGATGCATCTGAGCCACGCCCGTCTTAAACGCACAAGGATCACGACGCCACGTGTGGAGTTCGGATGAACCCGAACTACAGCAGGCCAAGACTGCCTGCTCGGATGGCACGGATGCATCCGACTTAGACACGGGCGGTGCTAATCCGAACAACAAACTAGGGTGTCATTGCCCCGGTTTCATGATCGGATTAATCCGAACCACCTCGTCGAACTTCGGATGTATCCGAACCACACTGACGAAGCGCCCGCCCTCGGTGTTCATTTCGTCGTGTGTTTCGGATAAATCTGAAATTCGGCCATGTGTTCCGGATTAATCCGATACCGGAACTCGGCTGAAGGACGCCATGATATGTTGTCGGCAAGCCAGCCGTCCAAGGAACCATTGTTCCCCTTCAGCACTTCGGATTACGCGAACTTCGTTGTGCGAGGGAGCCTGCAGCAAACCAGGGTCGCACATCAGACATGCATCCATCAACCGTCAGCGTCACCACTATGCAGTCTTGCACACCACAAACGGTTGTGATGGCGACAACAAACCAAGGGGTCATTCCCCCGGTCTCATAATCAGATTAATCCGAACCACCTCGTCGTCCGAACCACACTGACGAAGCGCCCACCCCCGGTGTTGATTTCATCGTATGTTTCGGATAAATCCGAACTTTGCCCATGTGCTTCGGGATAATCCGATTCGAAACTCGACTGAAGGACGCGATGTTATGTTGTCGCCATACCAGCCGTCCAAGGTACCAGTATTCCCCCTCTGCACTTTGGATTACGCAAACTTCACTGTGCGAGAGAGCCCGCTCCAAACCAGGGTCACACATCAGACATGCATCCATCAACCGTCAGGTTTGCCACTATGCAGTGTTGCACACCACAAATGGTTGGGATGGCGACAACAAACCAGGGCGTCGTTCCCGCGGTCTCATGATCAGATTGATCCGAACCACCTCGTCGAGCTTCGGATGTATCCGAACCACACTAACGATGCGCCCACCCCTGGTGTTGATTTTGTCGTGTGTTTCAGATAAATCCAAACTTCGCCAATGTGCTTCCGATTAATCCGATTCCGAAACTCGGCTGAAGGACGTCATGTTGTTTTTTGACCATACCAGCCGGCCAAGGTACCGGTGTTCCCCCTCTGCACTTCGGATTATGTGAACTTGGCTGAGCGAGAGAGACCGCACCAAACCAGGGTCGCACATCTGACATGCATCCATTAACCGTCGGGGTTACCACTATGCAGTCTTGCACACCACACTCGGATGCTTCCGGACCTTCCGTCGATTTTCTTTGTGCATGAGTTTTCGTACCTGTCGATCATGCGTCTTTGCAACTGAAAGGACATTGACGGTTCTGACAACATTAAGGGCACGCATCTGCCTCGGATTGATCCAGACCACATCGCGGTTACCAATTCGCTCAATTAGGACGGATCCCTTCACTCTGTTTTGGAGCTCAGATGAATCCGAACCGCACGGCTACCATGTCGCGCAATTCTGCCGCACAAAGCCCCACCTCGTTGGAGCTCGGGTGGATCCGTGCTGCAAGGTAAGTGGCGATGATGTTCGACGTTGACCTTGTCCCTCACTCAAGTTCGGATGTATCCGAACCTTCCCACGGGGTTCTTTTGCCGTTGTTTTTCCCACTTCTCGGATCGTCGTTTCCAGAATGAAAAGGACATCGCAACGTCCGACCACACCAGGGGCATAACCCGGCGTCGGTTCAACATGGAATAAATCGGTTGTTTTTTTGAAGTCTCGAGCATGAAGTTCAGATGAATCTGAAACACACGGCCTAAAGGGCCCCACGGAAAAATAACTTCGGATGAATCCGAAACACACGACCGTAGATGGCTTCCGGGCCAAGACGACCTTCCACTTGCGAAGTTCGGATGAATCCGAACACACTGGAGTTTACACATTGTCTCCACTCCATCGCCTTCGACAATTCGCCCCTAGCCGGTTCGGATCCATTTGGATCAACGGTTTGGCAATATGATTGCCAATATACGCCCTGCTGCCGTGTACCCCAGTCGATCACTGATGCAACCGGGCGTCATGATCACGTTCTCCAGATGCCTTTTCCTCGGTCGCCGTCTTGGCTTTTCCATGCTTCGGATTCATCCGAAGCTGGCGCGTGCCCTCCCTTGCGATCTGGCCAATGGTCTACCCGCATCGTATAATCACTGCGCTTCATGTTCTTCGGGTGCTTGTGAATCATCGTCTTAGTAGGTTCTGTGGGTGGACTTTGATGTTGGGACGTGCTCGAGTTTTCGCTCGCCCCATCTTGTGTGCGCTGAGTGTCTTGAGTGGACGTCTGTTCCATTGCTTCGCGTGTTTCAGGGAATGACTACTCATGGAGAACCGCACTCCGCTCGTGGTCCTGCCCCGCATGGGGAGGAGCCTCGAAGGACGACGTCGACACCGGTCATGGGCAAGAGCGGGGGGGGGGTCGGCGGGGAGGAACAACGAGGGACTCTCAACTTGTGGTGTGACTACAGCAAGCGTGTCCGGTATATGGACTGGGCCTGCCAGGACGCCTCGGAACCGTTGAAACCACGATGCGGGCCGATCGTCTACGTCGCCAATTGCGGTGATATGATTCGTCTCGCCGGGTCCGTCCTTGAGTGGGCCGACGTAGGCGACGATATTTTTAAGTTCACTTTGCGGAAGCTTTACAGAAGTGATGGTTCTATCGATGAGCTAGCAAAAGGGTGCAAGTTCGCTGGGAGGTTATTCGGGGGCTACGGCGCGGGTGCGATGGCTTTGCCCTGCTTCGTCCCTTTGTCGCTAGGTCACGACGAAGCCGTTCACGTGCAAGACTTTCTCGAGGTTTGGGCGAGTTCTCCGCATTTTGGACATGGCATGGACGTGGACCCTGGGACATCGATAAGTCGCAGGCGCCTTATCGATAAGTCGCGGGCTTTGCCATGTCTTCCCACGAGGCGTCCGGCAGTGGGCATGTCGGACGACTCAGGGGACGAACGTGCGCGGGCGCCTTTAAAACTGGGCTTGCAGGGATCTCGACGCCAAGGTTTGCTTGGGGAGTCGCCGATTCGGGTGTCCCTTGGAGGCGGCCTCGGCGAACGGTTGGAGAAGGCCTCGGGATCGCGGTCTCCCAAACGCCTCGTGGCAAGAGTCGGTGCGTTCATTAATAGCAGAGAAGTGGCAGAGTTGACGGCGATATATCGACCGGGTGCCTCGCGGGTTCGAGAGGTCCGTGGAGCTGCCAATACGACTCGGTCGGTCCGCCCTGCTCCTGCACATCTGCAGACGGAGGCGAGTCAACGTGGAGAAGCAGGTGGGAACGTCGCTGGTGAAGAAGAGGTACTCGAGTTGGGGGCGACTCGTGAGAGCTCGCCTGTGACGAGTCGGTCGGGAGGTAAGCGCAACTTGCCACTTGACGAAGGGCGGAAGGGATTGTCTGCTCTGAAAAGGCAAAGAAAGCAAGGAGGGAGTGCTCGGACGCCAATGACAGAAGAGTGAGGTTCCGTTGATAAGAGGAAAAGAGTTGGAGATGGGGATGATACGCCCAATGATTCGTCGACACGACGAAGAACCGGTGAGTCTTCCGGCAAGCGGTCGAAGTCGACGAAGGGGAAGAAAGCAGATGAAGGCGACACCGGGGAGGGGGACGACGACGTGGAGATTAACCTGACCACATTTAACCTTGACAGCGCGTTCTTCCTGGAGATGAAGACAGGGGTACAGAGGGACGTCGTGTTGCACATCCATCCCGTACGAATCTTGCCTATTCCAAACTAGGAGGACGCGTACAACCACCGATCCTTTGACGAGTTCCTCGTGGACACTATTGCGGCGGCTATGATCGACTGGTATGGACGTAAAGACATGAGATATACAAAGCCCACTTTCGTTCTGGCTCCGATCGTCGAGCCAGCGGAGAAGGACAAACCTACTGTGCGCGTGCTGCATGAAGACTTCGACGACTCCCACCCCGAGAAATACTGGTATTATCCTATGTATGGCCAGCATAATGCGAGGGCAGCGATGAAGGTGGCGGACCATGCTGTGTTCAATTACTATAACTTTTGTGAGTGACCGTTCAGACCAATTGACTTCCCTGATGACGAGTTCGATGGCTACACCCATGTCAGTTGCGAAGATAACATGAAAGACAAGAAGAATCCACCGAGATTGCAGATTTTGTCCATGCGGGACATTCGCAATATCTGGAAGATTAAGAGGAAACCACGCGTCGTGCTCGGCAACGCGTCCAAGAAGAAGGAGGAGGTGAGTAAATGGGTTCAGTTCATGGCCTTGGCAATGAAGAAGACGTCATACACGCCTTTGTGGAACCTGTCCACGGAAGAAAAGAAGAAAAAGGAATGGGCTGAGAAACTCCGGTACTACCTCCCATTGGTCATGGCTGACGAGTAGGTGTTCGAGTTGGAGGAGAAATTCTACGAGCAATGGTCAAAAGGAAAACTTCTTGCTTCCGATGACCGCCGTTGGACGGAAAAGGCACCGACAGATGAGGAGGTTGCGAAGCCAGGACTGTCGACTGTGACTGACAGCCAGGGACTGAAAAAACACGTCTGGTATGTTAAGTTAGACGACCCGTCGTTCAAGAAGGGCAAGGGGAAACCAAAGAAGGGCGCGGAGGAGAAAACTTACTACGTCCAAGTTCCTGAGCCGAATGTCCACTACTGGAAGGAGTTGGCAGACTTGATAGACCGCGAGAAGAAAAGGCTGTTAAACGGCATCTAAACCTTACCGTAGTGTGGGTTCAATCGAGCAGCAAGAAGTTGGCCGAGCAGGGGAAGCACTGTGTCAAGGAGATGGTCGACATCATTAAAATCGATCGGATTATGCTAAGCTTGTGGCACTACGTGGAGTTCGAGCACGAGGACATGGAAAAGGAGGAGTGGAATGTCAGATCCTTGTTCTTCAGGTCAAAGCGACAGTTGTTTGAAGAGTACTCGGACAAAGGTCTCGACGACAAGCTTTGGAACGAGAGCAGGAAGTTTTTCAACGACACGACGTACGTCAACAAGTGCCCTCAATATTTGGGGTGTCAACATGACAACAACGTCAAGAAAACTGCTGCTCTTGTGAACGACCCACATTTCTCGGCGTAGTGGAAACGTGTGGTCCTATCGGTGCTCACTGGAGAGTGCGCGCAAAGCAGAAAAGGTCCTCGAGGCATTGATGAATGCATCAACATTTTATGGAGGAAGACAAGCGTCGTGACGACATTGGCCCCGTTTGTTGTCGACCCGTTCAATGCCATAGACCATAAGGACGCGCTGGGTAAACTGGGTCATCAGTTGCGCTCCCACACTTGTGTGCTCGACTTGTGCGGAACCGTGGATCAGACGCGCTGGGATTCAGGAGCATTCGCGTCTCTGAGTGAGTTCCTGGGGTTCGTTTGTCAAGGCTACTGGACCGTGGTGGTATTCGTTTCCTGCCTGTGGAACCTGTTCTTCATGACATGTTTGGCTGCGCTTGGGGCCACCCGATGCTACACGGGTAAGTGGGTGCGCAAGATGGCAGTGAAGAAAACGCATCAGTTTGGAAACAGCGTGTGGGAGGAACCGGATGCTATGCACATCCTTTTCAAAGGCGAGGATCCGCGGCTGCTGACTCAGCCAGTCTTCGAGGGAGCTGTTGCTGAAGACGATGCCGCCGGTCTCCGGAGGAAGCAGAAAGTGACACCTGCCGATGTGGAGGAGAGACCTTTCAAGTCCTTGCAGTTCGCGGACTTCGGGAACCACACCCAAAAGGGGGTTGTATACAAGGACTTCGAGAGGAATCCTAATCAGTTATCAAGTTATCTTCTATTCTTCTGTGTCATGGCGGATGGCGTGCTGTTCTTGGGCAATCCGCACGCGCAGGTGGTGTGGAATCTGCTTCACCAGGGAAGGCACGTCTTGGCCTTGGATGGGAACTCAACGCAGCTTGAATACACCTCGCAGTTTGTTGCACATGAGGTCCAGTCTGGGGCTTACGCGTGCGATTTCCACCATGTCGTTGTCGAGCCTGTGCATGACCCGAATAAGGACATGTTCTTCAAGTTGACTCCCAAGACAAGGCGCCAGGTCTACTTCTTTCTTTTCGGCCATCAACCGAAGTGGAGAGTAGACGAGCAGTTCGTGATGCGAAAACAAGTCGCCATCGCAGTCCTCCAAGGCTACCACGGGGCGAGTCCACCGTGAGATCCACATCGGATAGGCGGACATGCCATCCTACCGCTGTTGGCTGTAGTCATCTTGAGAGTCGATGAGGTGAGGACCCGACGATGTTCCAATTGGGACGTGCTCTTGTTTCGTGATGTGCAGGTGCTTCCAGGCGGTGCGTTCGATCCCCTCCTCGACGTGAAGCAAAGTGCGAGGGAATTGCTCAGGGCTCACACCACAAGTGCGATTGAACTCGCACTTTGATGGAGAAGCAGTTGCGCAGTCCATCAGCGCGACGATTTAATATGAACATTGGCTTGTCATTTGTATATCACAGCTTGAAAACGCTATCAAATCTTTCTGTGTAGAAGATTCATATCCATTCATACAAGTATCTCTTGTCATCGCAAACATCGAGATGAAAACATCTGAAGTCAAATTGCAAAGCACACAGAGACATCGCAAACATCGAGGTGAAAACATCTCAAGTTGCACACTGTTTTTCCAAAGGTGAAGTCTCAGAGCAGACGATCAGTTTCTAGAAACCATTCTATGCAGAAAATTCATTCAAGGGCAAATTGCAAAGCACAAAGACTTTCCAAATTGAACGCAAAATATCATACAATGCCACATTGCAAAGTGCACGGAGGATTTCCAAAAATCACAAAGTATATGGAGTCAAACTGCGAATATGTCCTCATTTTTCGTATGGAACCAACAGTTCAATCACAAATGCACGACATCCAAAGTGCGAATATGTTCGCATTCTCATATGGAAACAACAGTCAGCATTCAGTGGAGAGCACGAGATGTATTCCGGGGATAACAAAATTGACAATCATTTAGTGCACCGCTGAATCCCTTAAACAACTTCAAGCACAAGTCAAATTGCAAAGCATACAGAGACATCGCAAACATCGAGGTGAAGACATCTCAAGTGGCCTAGTGTTTTTCCAAAGGTGAAGTGCCACAACACACGAACAGGTACCAGAAACCATTCAATGCAGGAAATTCATTCGAGGGCAAATTGCAAAGCACACAGAGACGTTTCAAAAAGTCATTGAACGCAAAATATCATACAATCCCACATCGCAAAGTGCATGGAGGCTTTTCAAATATCACAAAGTACATGGAGCCAAAGTGCGAATATGTTTTCATTTCTCACATGGAACCAACAGTTCAATCGCAAATGTACGGCATGTTCGCATTTCTCATACGGAAACCACAACCAGCATTCCGTGTAGAGCACGAGATGTATTCCGGGGAAAACAAAATTAGTGATCACTCAGTGCACCTCTGAATCCGTAAAACAACTTCAAGCACACATACATTCTGGCGACAATTGGTTTCTGAATGAGGAACAAGTTCGCAACTGTCATAAGGAACCAACAGACAACATTCAATTGAGACAAGCAGAGGGGGTGAACCGTAAAACGGGGCGGCACACGCAAAACAAGGACAAGCCAAAACATATGAAAGTTGGGTGGTCGGGGTGGGGCGGGGGAGAGGAGATTTCATACCACAAAGTCTCGCGAACGAAAGAGATAAGCACGAAACAATTTGGCGACCAAGAATAAATCGTCGATATCTTTCACATGAGTAAAAGAGGAGCACAACCTCAAAACGAACAAACGCAGCACGGTGCTGCTACAGTCTGAGACGACATAAGGAGAACAACCCGAAAATAAACAAAAGGAGTACAAAGTTGGGATATTCACATCCGATATGTAAGCGTCTACTTAAAAGGAACAGCACCACGTGGCTGGGATATTTACATCGGCACGTAAGCTTCTACTTCACGTAAGCGTTCGCTGCTACCCTCTAGCTGATGTTGCGCGGCAAGCTATGAGAACAACCTGAAAACAAACAAAGGAAGCACGGCGCTGCTAAAAGTCCTACGAGTAAAGATGACAGGTTCCACGAAATGAAGAAACCTCAAAAAATTGATACATCACGAGGCTGAGATATTCACATCGACACCTAAGCCTGTACTTGACCAAAATGTCCATTGCAATCCGGCACCTCATGAAAACAACAACACAGCTCGAACCGGCTGACTGCTAGATTAAGTGAGAATAAATTCGCACTTCTGCTTATGGCATTTTGAAAAAAAAACTACGTTTTACAACAGTGGTATCATTCAACGTCTTGGAGTATGTCCACCGCAATCCTCAGCCGGATGTTTGGAATGTCGCTTTGGGCTATCAGAAATGGTGGCGGACAACCGCGTGCAAGAAATGAAGCGAAGGCGAGCATGGAAACACTGCAGCTCGACCAGTCCGATTGTTGAGGGACACCACAAACAACCACCTTGGGCTCCTCGAGATCCACTTTCGTTTTTGGACCATAATGACAAACTGCTTCGTCACGCAGTTATTGCGTGAAGTTTGCAATCGCATCGGAAGAAAAACCGTCATCGTCTTGTACGAGGGAGTCGGAGTACTCCAGCCATTGTTCTCGGAGACACAATAGGGACCAATGCACTCCATGTTTATGGACGGGAATCAAGACCATCACGTGCGAGAAAATATCCACATCTTTTGTCCATCTCGCAACTCTATCATGTCGATAGCCGCCACGGACGAGCTTGGTATAGAAAATGGACTGAAAATGTAAAGAGAGGGACACCCAGGCAACGCAGCGTTGGCAAGCAAGGCCAAGTACGACTCCATCACCTCGTCGGAAAGCCATTCCCCCTAAACAAGAGTTTGAAGACTTTTTCTGCTCAACGGAATTGAACTGACCCCTTTGCGAACCAAGCACACCATCTCGTGGACGTTGCTGTAATCTCCACAGACGTTCCGCAACATTCTCAAGTCGGTAGCGCTAAGCTCCTCAGTAGGAAACAAAACGCGAAAACATGATGTAGCCCCAGCTGCACAAACACCCACGAACAAGTGTGAGGAGTGAGCACAAACCCCGTGGTGGAATGGCTAGGAACTGTCTGCCCTTTTTCCAGAAAAGTTGTATCCCTGCTTGTTGAATGTGTCATTTGCGATGTACTTAGGACACGGGTCTTTCAAGACACCCCACTTGCCATCGTCATCAGACCCGTCAGACAAAGCAGTAACGCTCTCAATAGACCCAGCCAAATATTTCTGCAGACCTTCCTCCTTATCTATTCTACAAGCCTTCAGAACCTTGACAGCTCTCTGGGAAAGGCGAGGCATCTGGACCGTTTTAAACAACCCTACACTTGACGACTTCTTCGGTGAAGCGGCCAATGACCTCTCTAAAAGATGTTTCTCGCGCACGGCTTTTAAAAGCTTCATGGGCAGGGACGTTAACAACCTCACACCTGTAGAACATAGAAAACAACCCACAACCCACAAGCGTTTTTTAAACTAGTGGTAATAGGTACATGAGCCCATGACATCAATTTGGACGAAGACAGAGCTGGCCAGTGACAGATATGCGAGTGGTCCTATTCACAAATCTTACCGTGCTCGGGAGCCCTTTGAGGGAACTCGCCCTCCTGTCGCGCCATTGCGCCAACGTCCACGGACGATTCAAGGTTCTGGACCTCGGCCACGGCTGTGTCGCTAACCAGCTCGGTGGCAGCTGAGTCGCTTGGCAAGTCGATGGGTTCAAGAAGCACCGTTTCCCGACCGGTACTGACGACAGCTGCTCGATCACCCTGTTCGGCACCGCAACGGGTGGACGGAGAATCATGATCTTTCCGCTTTGGATCCATCTTGATGTTGACGGCGACCTCACCGCCTTCCACGGAGGATTCGATGTTCTGCATCTCGGCTACGCCTGAGTCGCTAACCAGCTCGGTGGCTGCCGAGTCGTCACCCAACTCTATGGCTTCATAAAGCACCATTCCCTGAGCGGTGCTCAGGATAGACGCTCGACCACCCTATTCTTCACCGCAACGGGTGGGCGAAGAATCACCATATTTCCGCTGTGGATCCGTCCGGATGTCGACAGTCACCTCACCGCCTTTCTCATCGCCATGAACCTGAGCTTCCACCGCGGGTTCTTTTTTGTCTTTATCGTCGCCAAGAACAGGAGCTTGCGCGGATGTCCACTTACCTCCCTTAATGACACCCTCTCGCATCATGGCCACAGCTGAGCGACTGTGCAAAACCTCTTCGGACGTCCCGATCACCAGCGCTCGTGCGTGGAGCCACTTCACGTCTTCACGAGCCGGCCCGTATCGAGTCTCCTCTCCCCGCTGTACAACATGCGTTTCCCTCGGAGCTCCTGCACTCTCGCTGTCAGTGTCCACGGACGCACCCTTCGAAGCATGACGTTCATACTCGCTACCCCCGGTCTCCAACACTCCTGGAGCGGGCCCGTCCAGCACGTCGCAAGACCGCTAGTCTCGAGTCTCAACACATGAGAAAGGAGGCGAGCAGGGTAACCCTGTGTCCAACTGAAGATGCAAAGGCGAGGACGTCACATTTTTTTGGCCCGGCGGAACTGTTGCGTGAGGAACGCTTATGGCATAGGGCAACGACAGCAATTCCGAATGTATTCGGAGTTTGTGGCGGTCGCCCGAGCCGAGGGAACCGGAGGTCCCACCTTCGCTCCTTCGCAATGGAGGCATCCCGCCCTCCAGGCAAAACGAGGACGAGCCCTCTTTCAGGAGCAAGGTGTTGAGCACAGGAGACCTCTGCTGCGCACAGTGGGATGGACTCTCCTGGGCAACCGGAAACAAACTCCTTGCAGACAAGTGCGAATCTACTCGCACTTGATCAGACGTCAGGGTGGCCTCGTCTCGCATGTAGGAATCTCGACTACCTACGCAGTGGGGGTCAGTTTCCATATACTGGGGACTCCCGGACGTTTTACGCTTTCCGCCCGACCCCTTCCCGCCCGACCTTTTCCCGCCCGACTTCTTTCTGCCCGACCCCTTTCCGCCGGACGCCTTCTCAATCGACGATGTCTCGCCCGTCCCCTTTCCGGCAAACTATGAGCCGTCTCCTCCGCCACCTCCGCCGTCTTCTTCGTCTCCTCCACCACCCTCTCCCGGATGCTGACCGGCCGGCGGAGGTTGCGGCATGCGCCAGTCAATGCCATGAGACGGTGCCGTTTCCAGTGCGTAGAAAGGCGCTCGAAACTCCAACATGTTGTTGGCGTACAACTCATGTAGCTTTTGTTCTGCATACGCATTGACGTCCTGATCGTTCTTGTCGGGGTTCATGAGACTCAAATGCTCCACCAGAGCAGTTCTTGCCTTTATCTTAAATGCACCCGCTCCCAGGCTCTTCAGTCCACTCCACTTGCCATCGGCCACCTTTATTGCCATGACCCACATTCCATTCCTCACAGCAGGTTGGAATATCCTCGGGTGCCAGACAACGTTGTGTCCCTAGACATCCTCCGCTGTGAACCGATGATGCTTGCCGAAAAAGTAGAGTCTGTCATTCTGCCAGGTATCATTGTCCACAGGGAGCCTGTCACAAGGTTCGTGGTCATAATCTCTCTCTTCCTCCCCGTCATCAGACGATTGGTCGTCGACTGGTTTGCCCCGAAACACACGCTTCAAACCGGCAGGGGACGTGCTATATCTCCGAGGGCCACGTTCCTCTTCATCACCAACCTGTCCAACCACCCGAGGAAGTGGCATGGACTTGAAATCAAAGGTTTCGGAGTCGCTCAGCTCCTCCATGTCATCAGCGTCGAAAGGGTCCTCCTCGTCAAACTGTGACTTGTAGTTTTTCGAGAGTGAGCGGTTCGGCCAGCGTGAAGTAAACGTGCTCCAGCCTTCTCAGGAAGTGCGAGACAGAATCCCTGGTGCACCGTGGTACCCATTGAGCACAGCGAACACCAGGTTTCTCCGTCGATTGTATTCGAGGTCGGTCGGACCAGGCGGTCCGGGTCTGAAAAGGAAGTCCCAAACATCCAACCTTTTGTTCCCCGGCAATTTCTAATACATGTCACGTTTGGGATCCCAGTTTCATTCGCCGGTGGTGCGGGCAAACTCGCAAGCATTGTGAGTGTCTGCTACGCGTGCCTTCACAAACTCGTAAGGGTAATCGATCATCTTCGCCTCCTTCTCCAACGCGACGACGTTCCGACCGGTGCGCAGGAATTCCCACACTACAGACGCATGCGCCTTCCCCAAGAAAAAAACAGTTTGACCAACTTTGCAAAAGTTTACGAGTACACGAAGTAGACGGGACGGGTTCCACTCCATCTCCCCGTAAGCAGGCCCTTAAGAACTTGTCACGTCGCTGTCCTCCCACATGCTACGAGAGAACCTTTCCTCTTCCGCCACGTCGAAATACGCCACAGCCTGTCCTGATGGGCCCGCCACCGTGTGTTTGGCCGGACTTGGACCATGAGCACGGGAAGCCTTTGTCGGGCTACTAGCCGGGTAGACTGCGAATGTGTTGTCTTCCAACTTCTCGCCATTAAAAATCACGTACAGGCGGTCACACTCCTCAACCAGCATATCACCTTCCCGGACAGTGGCCTGCTTTTGTGCATTACATACCCACTTCCCTATCCTGACGTGATGGACGCTAAGCCTGGCCGTGCCTTTCAAGAAATTGAGCTCCCAACAAGAGGGGAAAAAGATCACAAGTGCCTAGTGCGTTGGCGAAAGTGTTTGTAGAAGGCCTTGCAGGTTGGCGAAATCGTCTTCTCGCCAGTCTGTGAGGAGTGTGGGATTACACAAATCGAGGACGTACATGTTGCACACGTAATGTCGCACAACCTCACGGATCGCAGTGACATGACTGTGAGCTTGGGAAGGTGGGAAAGCGAAAGGAATAAGGCTGGTCACCCGGTTGAGGTCGGGCCATTTGATGTGCCTCGCATCCCCGCTGACCCTGATCGTGTCTCGAACTTCTTCTTCCGTCCGTCACAAGATGGAACAGACAGACTTTTCGAAAGATTTAGGAAACCTGTCATCATCTTACAATCTCTTCGCGTCGTCGATTGACTCCTTCTCGTGCGGAAGAGTACGTTTGCAAGTGTTCACGTACTCCACCGCGCCCTGGAAATGCTTTCGCATTTCGACCCACACCTGTTTCGTGAGGCCCTGCAGGCCCGTACTCCTCCAGAAGCTTCCCCTCAGTACGAAAAAAAGGGCTCCCGTGGCGCTAAACACGTTCGTCCTCCTCCGTTTCAAGGAACAAGATGTAATGGAACATACGGAGCATCACACGGTCCACTTTCCTCGTTGCGACCATGTCTTTAATTTCTGGTTTGTGCTGACGCTTCAGATGGCCGCCCGCGGATTGCACGAACATTCCCCTTAGCGCGAGAATGTCGTCAAGGATCGATAGTTTCTCGGCATCGGTCATGTCGGCGAGACACTGCCAACAGAACATGTCTGGCTCCTTCACAACCACGAAAAACTTGTCGTCAGTTTGCGTTTTCTTTTTGGTCGGAGGCGGCAGGACCCGGACCAGCCACCTCATCTTCGTTTCACCAGCCGCCCCTTTCGAGCCTATTTCCGGAATTGCTTGCAGACTTGGAGATTTGTCTGGCATGTATTTGCCCGGCCTCGACAATGGCATCTTGTCGTCGCCGCCCAACAACTTCCCCTCCGCCCATTTCACGTAGAATTCAATGGCTTTGCGGAAAACGTTGTCACCGGCCGTTACGAGCGGCATCCACTGCCTCAATGCATTCCCAACTGCAGCGACATACTCCTTATCGGCGAGCGACGAATCTTTTTGTGCCAACGTCCAGTGAGCTCCTTTCGAACTCTTTCCCAAAATCAGCTTTTGAAAATCGAAGAACTTTTGTTTTTCGGTCTCCTTGCTGGAAGGGTTCCCTTGAATGGCCACCGGCCTTCCTTCATTCTCCCATGCCTCCCGCATGTCCAAGAACTCGGCCTTCTGCGGCCGCACCGGTTGGGTTGTCAACTCTCCAGCAGTGTTGCTTAAAAAGTGCGAACAAACTTGCATTTGTGGAAATAAAGAACTGCCTTTAATGAAATATGTGTCTAACCTTGGGAAAACTGCGAATAACCTCGCAGTTGTCACTCCTCGAACACTGTACGTCGCAAACTGCGAACTGACTCACAATCTCTCTCTCTCTATGTATATGTATCTATATATATATACATATATATATATATATATATATATATATATATATGAGGTCGGCGACCTCACAAGGGACAGGTGAGCGAAAATCGGGAATTGATTCGGTGTTCGGTGTAGCAACTAGGTATTGATTCGGGGTTCGCCATGCGCAGCGACGACTGCAAGTTGCAAAGGGGATTGAGCAGCTTTATACCAACGTTGTCGTGGCTATGGCGAAAGGTAATCGAGCTGCGGAACGCGGATCGGCTATGGTGGACGGAGGTGGAGGGTGGAGAAAAGAGATCAGAGCACGTCCACTGGCGAAACAACAAAACCGGGAATTGATTCGGGGTTCAACAGAACACGGCTGCGACGTTATATTCTGCAGGTACAGATAGGGCATAAGGGAATGTGTTCGGAGGTCAGACACAAAATAGGACAACTCAAGTCATATGATTTTACCTTCGTCGTGCGTTGAGCGAACAACCAACCACCGAACCCAGCTATGGTGGACGAATATCGAGTTAGGAAGAGAGAAGACCGAGGAGCGAAGAGCGAACCGAACACAATGTGGCAACTGCTGACGGAGCGAAGAGCGAAGAGTGAGCGGGCTATGGCGGAAGGTGGGGGGGGATGAAGACCAAATATCAGAACGTGCGCGGAAGCGATAGCGCGACGTGATCTGTGGAGCGCCAACAAAAGGGATAACTTGAGGGCTGCAACGCCTTTTATACTTTGTTGCTTCAGGCCTCGCATCGGGATCAAGGTGGGGATGAATCGATTCGAGTATCGCACCCCTGGGCCCATAAAATGCCAGGGCCTATAAACGGTAAGGGGTACCGAAAATTGTTAGCTGTCCATCAACAATTTCCAACCGCGCAGATGAACGAAGCCACTGTTATGCCAGTGGCCCCAAAATCTCCGTCTACTTCGGCATGCAATGGTGTGACAGTTTCCGAAAACAAGGGGCAAGCAATGTCATTTTCGCAGTTGTAATCTGGACCGTCGATCAACATGATCCGACGCACGAGGTCAGGCGCAAGAATCTATAAGGTGCGGCGATTCGTTGTGCGCCGAGGTGGTTCGTTGCGCGGCGAGGCCAAGCGACGGTTTATTTCCCACCGAGGCGCGGTGATTCGTTGTGCGCCGAGGTCAAAAACATCATAAATCTATAAGTTCTGGTGTCGCTGTCATCTGGACATTTTGCAAATGTCAACGGCGTTCGATATCGATGCGCTTAGCCATGCACCATCGTTATCGATGCGCTTAGCTCATCGCCATCGCCAACGCTCGCCATGCACCATCGCCATCGATGCGGTTAGCTCATCGCCATCGCGACGCAAAGCTATATCCCCCATCACAGCCGTCGCGCTCGCCTGACCATCGTAGCGCTGACAATCGCCATCGCTCTCATCGCAGCGCTGGCCATCGCTGCGCCATCGCAACGCTGGTACCATAGCTACCATCGCAACGTTGGTTCCATCGCTGCGCCATCTCTCAGTCGGTACGCCATCGCTATCGCTCCCTTGCTATCGCTGCCATCGCTATCGCTGTTCCATCGTTGCGCCATCGCTATAGCTGTTCCATCGCTGTTCCATCGCTGCGCCATCGCTCTCTACCGTTGCGCCATCGCTCTCCACCGGTGCGCCATCGCTGCTCAATCGCTATCGTTGTTCCATCGCTGCCATCGCTATCACTATCGTTGCATTGTAACACATTCCATCGCCTCGCCATCGCTCTCCACCGGTGCGCCATCGCTCTCCACCGTAGCGCTGGCCATTGCTATCGAAGCCCTGGCCAGTGTTATCCCACCGCAGCGCTGCGCGATTTCTCTCTCCATCGCCGCACGATCTCCCTCCATCGCTGAGTGATCACTCTCCATCTCACTTCATCACTGTGAGATCTCTCTTGACAACCGAGCAACCTCCATCCTTGCCCCAGAGGCTCTCCATTACTCGTGCGCGATCCTGCCATCGCCATTGTATTGTTGTTTCAGGCCGTCATCGGTGCAGCCGCCCATTACTGTGGAATCGCACGAAACAGGTGACAGATATGCTTAACGAAGGTTTAACTCGATGAAACTAATGTTGTGCAATAACAAATCTTGATCATCGCTGTGTCTTCTCTCTCCATCGCTGCGGCATCGCTAACCATTGTTGCGCGTCCTCTCTCCATCTCTCTCCACTGATGCGCGATCTCTATCGACCTTTCGTCATCTATCCCCATCGCTGTAGTATCTTTCCTAGTCTATCTCCTTCGTCATCCATCTCCTTCGGTGCGCTATCTTTCCTAATCTATCTCCTTCGTCATCTATCTCCATCGCTGCGCTATCTTTCCTAATCTATCTCCATCATCATCTATCTGCTTTGGTGTGCCATCTTTCTCCATTGCTGTGCTATCGCTAACCATTGTTGCGCCTGCTATCTCCATTGTTGCGCCATGTTTCTCCATCGATGCGCAGTCACTCTCTCTCGCTGCGGAACACCTCCCAATCAGTTCGCGATCTCTTTCCCTTCCTGCGCCATCCACCTTCTTCCCCGGAATATACAACGCACTTTCATTACAGTTGTCTTTAGACTGAAAGATGACCCAAATTCAGTTGTAATGACCAGACGTTGTATTCGGGGGAAGACTGTGACTCCATCCATCTCTCTTGGTGCGCCATCTCTCTCATTCTGCGCGCCATCTCTCTCCATGTATTTTCATCGATGCGCCGTCTGCCCATCGCTTCACAATCTTGCTCCATCTTAAAAAATAGCACGCCATCTTTCCCTATTTCTCTCTTGCGACGATCTGTGGCTCGTACTACACGCAGAACAAGCCGGAAACAACTTGCACTTTGCCCGCAGTTTCGTAATGGAAATGCTCGTTTACAACTGCGAATTCATTCGCTCTTGAACCAACCAACCCCTTAATTTGTCACTGTTTAGTCCATAGGTCAGAATTAACTTGCACTTGTACCCCTAGTTTCGTAATGAAAATGCCTGTTTGCAAGTGCGAATTTATTCGCTTTTTAATCAACCATCCCCCTAAATTTATTACTCAACAGTCCAAAAATCCCAGTTTCATAGTGGAAATGTTTGTCTGCAAGTGCGAATTTATTCGCTCTTCAACCAACCATCCCCCCAAATTTTTGAGTCTTTAGTCCACAAGCCCCAGTTTCATAATGGAAATGCTCGTTTGCAAGTGCGAATTTATTCGCTCTTCAACCATCCATCCCCCTAAATTTGTTCCTCTTTAGTCGATAATTCGCGTCTCTTCTCAGCCCAAAAGAATGAAGTCATTTTATATTTGGGAGTTAACTCGGCACTGAACCAACCACGAAGGCAATTTCTTATTGCACGGCGTAATCGAAATGTTCCTCTGAAGTGCGAAGTTTTTGGCACTTGAAAATTATCGTTGTTTAGTGGATAATACCGAATCGACTCGCACTTGTGTTCGGTCTTGTTCCGACCATGAACTTAATTTCTTACTGTACGTTGAATAAGTCCGAATCAGCTCGCATTTGTACTCTTGCCTGAAAAAGTGCGAGTTTACTCGGACATATCCAAACCACTTGCACACTGAACGAGTGGGTGAGGAGTCGAACTTGAGATACCACTTGAGCCTCACATCAGGGTCCGACAAAACGATATGGATTCAAATGTTGTTGTTCCACTGTTTTGTGATAAAATTTTGAAATGTGAGTTTGCTCCCTCTTGTTTATTTCCCTGACCTCGTCATACATTGACGGGATTTTCTTGTTGTACAGTTTCCGTGTGAATCGTCTCTTCAAATGGCTGTCCAATCCGTCCACTGTGTCACGCCACTGCCACCGTCACGACAACACGGAGAAGACGATGTTCGAGAACGTAGTTCTTGTGACAGCAACCCGGAAGCTCCCTCTGATCGGCATTACGGTTTGAAAAGGGAGTTCTCGATGTTGACCCCGACGAATCATTCAGGCTCGTCTACGACGTCCGCCCGACGTCGTTTTGTTCGCTTTACCGACGTTCTCGACGGTCAACGCGTATCTACAGCGCTAATCCTCGGTAGTGAGGGTGTTCGGGATGTCGAGACGTTTCCGGGTGGGTGGATGTTCATGGACACAGATTTCTGTAGTGTGTCGAAAACGACTGGATCAGATCTCGTGTGGACGGCGGGTAGACTGTCAGAAAGCATTGAAGTTACCCAACCCCTAGCATTTGACTACAGTCGGTCGCTGGTGGACACAGACTTCTGTGGTACGCTCGATAGAAACAGATCTGATCGGCAACAGTGCGGTGCATTTGGTAGAAACGGGTATGATAGGGACCACGCAACGGTACGTGCGTGTGGAAGTGCGAAGATAGGTAAGAGAATTGCATGTGAAGCCGGAATAGTTGGCTCTCCGTGGATGACAGCGACGAGTGCAATGGAAAATTGGCAGACTAGTTTTGTAGACACAGATTTCTACAGTTCATCGGAATCCTCCCAATCTGATTTGCTGAGAACTGCTCCCACGGACAGATCGAAATTTCTAGGTGCAGCGCATGGGTCCCCGACCAAAAGCCAACCTGAAACTCCCGAAGCAGTCCTTCAAGTTTTGTCCCATCCCCTACCTGGAGAAAGGAGAAGATATAATCGGAAAAATAGGCCGGTTGGAAGGTCAAAGCATTCGAAGAGGGTCAAAAGTCGATTGAATGAAACTAACATTGCGCTCGTCCCGACGTACAAATGTTGTAAGAACAAGTGTCTTCGGGTCTTGACCATTGGCGATATCAAACCGGTGCGCGAAGCCTATTACGAAATGTCCCTCGAAAGGAGGATCGAGTGGTGGATGCAAACCCTCGACAATGTCACTATCCTCGACGGCGGTCGGGAAAGAGTCCAACCAGTGCAGTGCAAACTCCTTGTGTGCATCGCCGGTTGGTGCAAAATAATAGGGATATGTCGAAACACATTTCGTCGTTATAGCAAGTGCAAGTCGGACGGAGTCGTCCGTGGCCGTCATGGTCGATGGGGATTGTTGAACCCGAGACAGGAGTATGTGAGCATGCTGGCTCGCGTGACAAGGTTCGTGGAAGAACATGGAGATGCTATGCCTAACGAAATGGTTGTGAGGGGGACCTCACAACGACCCAAAGTTAGGCTCCCTGCTTATTTCACGAAGCTTCTTGTATACGAGTCTATCAAGGCGGACTTGGAAGCGGCGGGTCAGACCGTCGTTTCGGAGCAAGTCTTCTATTCCATATGGAGGAAGTACTTGTGGCATGCCGACCTTGCCAAGTCGAACTCGTTCACAAAGTGTGGCGAGTGCGTCCGCCTTAGACAGGCCATAGACAACGCCTTCCTCCTTCGTGACCGTAGGGATTTCGAGGAAAAGCACCGCAAACACCAACTAGATCAGGTCGCTCACCGTGCGGATTACGCTGACTGGAAACTTCGTTCCATTTTGAACCCCGCGGAATACCTCTGCCTTATAGTGGATGGAATGGATCAGAAAAAGACAACCATTCCTCACATCGGCATATATAATTACTCCAAGGATCATCGACACGGCATGATGATGAAAACGAACCTTAACGTGGTCGTAGCTCACAGAAGGAAACCGTCCATTAATGTGTACATGTATTTCCCTTTCTATGCGCACGGCTCCGATGGCACCGTGACGTGCGTTATGCGGACTCTATGTGAGTTGCAGGTGTCGGGACAGAAATGGCCACGCCACCTCCGCATCCAGGCGGACAATTGCTCGAGGGAAAACAAAAACCAATACCTTATGTGTTTGGCCTCTATTCTGGTGAAACTCGGGATTTTCGAAGATGTCGAAGTGGGGTTCATGCTCGTTGGGCGCATGCATACCGACATAGACGCGACTTTTAGTGTTTTCTCGAAAAAACTAAAGGACAACGATGCTTACACCATGAAGCAGTTGTTCTTGCTTATCGAGTCTTCGCACAAGATACCGCCGAAGTGCATATGCTCGATCACATTGCCGATTGGCGCCGGGTAGTGGATCGATACGTCGATAGAACCATCATCGGCGTATCGAAACTGCACCTCTTCAAATTCTTCATGCGTGACGGCAGTCCCGTCATGGTGTACAAGAAGTACTGTACCGATGCGGAATGGAAGCCGGAAGGCAGACCAATTCACTGGTTCCCGATAGTCGATGGCCAGTATGCAGGCCCTGCCTCCCCTCCACAGCGATGTGTTATTCCCCGTGTCGTTAAAGACGATTTTTGGATGGCTCGTGACAGTGTCCAAAAATTTGTGGACGTCCTCGAACAACATAGACACATGTGGCAGACATATAGGAAGGAGGAGGTCGACAAGCGGGAGGATGCTTTGTCTTACTGGAAAGCCATCTTCGTCGAGGCGGACGACATGATCCAAAAGCAAAAGAAGAAGGAGGTGGAAGAGGGTGAGGAAAAGGATGTCCTCGGGGCGGACGAGCCGGAGATCAACCC